AGGGACGGCGTGGTGCTTCTGCCTAGAGCGCCATTTTGCCCAAACCTTTTTCCATTTTTAGCTTTTTAAGGAAGCGTCAAATCAGTTTCCAAGTGGTTGTACCATTTTACATTCCCACCAACAGTGTATAAGTGTTCCAGTCTCTCTACAACCTCTCCAACATTTATTATTTTGTGTTTTTTGGATTAATGCTAGCCTTGTTGGGATGAGATGGTATCTCATTGTAGTTTTGACTTACATTTCCTCATGTATCTGTTAGCTGCCTGAATGTCTTCTTTGGTGAAGTGCCTACTCATATCCTTTGCCCATTTTTTAACTGGGTTATTTGTCTTTTTGTTATTGAGGTATTGCAGTATCGTGCAAATTTTAGAGATTAGACCCTGATCGGGTATGTGGCAGCCAAAAATTTTTTCCCAGTTTGCAGGTTGTCTTTTTACTCTTTTGGTGAAGTCTTTTGATGATTGTAAGTGTTTGATTTTTAGGAGCTCCCAGTTATCTAGTTTCTCTTCTGGTGTTTGTGCATTGTTACTTATGGTTTTATTCTGTTTATGCCATGTATTAGGGCTCCTACTGTTATCCCTATTTTTTCTTCCATGATCTTTATCGTTTTAGATTTTATATTTAGGTCTTTGATCCATTTTGAGTTAGTTTTTGTGCATGGTGTGAGGTATAGGTCTTGCTTCAATCTTTTGCACATGGATATCCAGTTATGCCAGCGCCATTTGTTAAAGACTGTCTTTTCCCCAATTAATGGACTTTGGGCCTTTGTCAAATATCAGCTGCTCACAGGGGGATGAATTTACATCTAGATTCTCAATTCTGTTCCACTGCTCTATGTATCTGTTTTTATACCAGTACCAGGCTGTTTTGTCTACCATGGCGGTATTATAGGTTTTAAAATCAGGTAATGAGGCCTCCCACTTTGTTCTTCTTCTTTAGTAATGCTTACTTATCAGGGGCTTCTTCCCTTTCCATATGAAGTTGGTGATTTGTTTCTCCATCTGCTTAAAAAATCCTGTTGGAATATGCATCAGGATTGGATTGTATCTGTAGATCACTTTGGGTAGAACAGACATTTTCACAATGTTGAGTCTTCCTATCCATGAGCAAGTATGTTTTTCCACTTATGCAGGCCTCTTTTGGTTTCTTGCAGTAGTGTCTTGTAGTTTTGTTTGTATAGGTCTTTTACAGTCCCTGGTTAGATTTATTTCTAAGTATTTGATCTTCTTAAGGGCTATTGTAAATGGTATTGATTTGGTGATTTCCTTTTTGAAGTTCTCTTTGTTGGTGTAGAGGAATCCAACTGATTTTTGTATGTTTATTTTGTATCCTGATACTTTGTTGAAATCTTCTATTAGTTCCAGTAGTTGTCTTGTGGATTCTTGGGGGTTTTCTGTGTATAAGATCGTATCATCTGCAGACAGAGATACTCTGATTTCTTCCTTACCAATTTGGATGCCCTTAATTTCTTTTTCTAGCGTAACTCCTCTGGGTAGGACTTCCAGCACAATGCTGAATAGGAGTGGTGATAAAGGTCATCCTTGTCTGGTTCCCCTTCTCAAGGGGAATGCTCTCAGACTCTCGACATTTAGGATGATGTTGGCTGTTGACTTTGTATAAATGCCCTTAATTATGTTGAGGAAGTTCCCTTCTATTCCTATTTTGCTGAGAGTTTTTATCATGAATGGGTGTTGGACTTTGTCAAATGTCTTTTCTGCATCAACTGATAAGATCATGTGGCTCTTATCTTTTGTTTTATTTACGTGATGGATTACATTGATTGTTTTCCTAATGCTGAACCATCCCTGCATACGTGGTATGAATCCCACTTGGTCATTGTGAATTATTTTTTGGATATGCTGTTGAGTTCTATTGGCTAGAATTTTGTTGAGGTTTTTATGTCTATGTTCATGAGGGATATTGGTCTATAATTTTCTTTTTCTGTGGTGTCTTTACCTGGTTTTGGTATCAGGGTTATGCTGGCTTCACAGAATGAGTTTGGGAGTATTCCATCCTTTTCTATGCTCTGAAATACCTTTAGTAGTAGTGGTGTTAACTCTTTTCTGAAAGTTTGGCACAATTCTCCAGTGAAACTGTCAGGACCAGTGCTTTTTTTCTGTTGGGAGCTTTTGAATTACCTTTTCAATCTCTTCTTTTGTTCTAGGTTTATTTAGTTGTTCTACCTCTGTTTAGGTAGGTAGTGTGTTTCTAGAAATTTGTCCATTTCCTCTAGGTTTTCAAATTTGTTAAGAGTATAATTTTCATAGTTTTCTGTTATGATTCTTTTAATTTTAGTTGAGTCTGTTGTTGTATCGCCCATCTCATTGCTTATTCGGGTTACAGTGTGTTTTGAAAGCAGATATTCACGGGTGCATTGTCAAATAAATATAAATTTTCACTATTCCCTTAACTTTTAGATTATGACAGCTTTATATATTGGTGTTATTGACTCTACCATAGATATTCTCAATACTCATAGAGAACAGCAAATACATGTGAAAAGAAAAACTTTACAATAATTTACTTCAATCTACAGCTTTCTTTTGAGAATTTTTTAAACTGTGGTAAATATATATAAGATAAAATTTGCCATTTTAACAATCTTTAAGTGTATATGTCGGTGTCTTTAATTATATTCAAAATACTGTGCAACCATCACCACTATTTACTTTCAAAAATTTTCTTATCACGCCAAACAGAAGCTCTGTACCCAGTAAGCAATGACTTTCTATACATTTTTTTTTTATATCACAGTAATTGAATCTTCTGACCTGTTTGATAAAAATGACTAGCAGATCAAGTTATGGAAAAATACGTGTAAACTTCCTGGACTTAAATATCCATTTTTAAGTGTATTTTTTTAATTTACAAAGTTATATAGTAATCCAATTTTCTATACTGTATTTACTTCCTTTGGATCAAAACACCCTATAAATAAAACTTCCATTAATTTGAAATAATGTATACAGAAGACTCTCATTAGATCAAAGGAAATTGCTTATGAAAATTTTGATAACTAGATTTACTTTTCAAAGGTGACATGTATCCTCCAAAGCTCAGTTAAATATCAAATATCTAACAAATAGTATTTGGTGAAAGATTCATGTACTGATGTTTCTTATAAACATAATTACATTATGTAAAAATTAGACAATACCTGATTTATTGAGAGTAATTCCAGTTGTATACAGAAAATTGTCCACTTTCAAAAATTGCTGTAGGACTGTAAGATAGCCAGTAACGTTGTTAATATGATGGTTGTCAGGCAGTTGAATTAAGGCCTTTGAAAACTGAACACTTGGTTGAGATTTGGCATCTGGAAAAAGGAAAACTCAATAAATAAATAGACTAAAACAAATGCATAGTAAGTATAGCATCACTGATCATGAGATTTTAAAGAAAGTAGTTATAATTATCTCTAAGCATCACTACCATTTCCTCATGTAATTACTACTTAAAATTTATAAATGACCACAATAAGAAAATTCCTTTTTTTTTTTAGATCACACGGAATGCTTTTATACTTGATTCTGGTGCCCAGTATTTCTTCAGCCTGGTTTAAGGACGAGTGAAGGGAGGTGGAGAGTGAGGTAGAGATGAAAATATCATCTTCATGGTTGGTAAAGCTGAACTGGAAGATTTGTAACTTAAATCTTTACTCAAAGCTTTCTGCATTCTCCCCCTTAGGATATGCAAGTAGGACAAGTCATGTCTGCAGAGCAGACACTAAACTACCCAGTTCTCTGGCCTCCCGACACAGGCAAAAAGATTAGTGCTGGAGGCAGGCACGAAGAAGACCTGCAAATTAGAGAGCTCCAAAGGTCCGAGTGACAGGTATTCAGTCCTTTTCCCAATCTCCCCAACCACTAACATCCCCAAAAGAGAAGAGAAAGATGTGACTTGGAATGAAAGACAGAAGATGTCTTTCCAATATTTCCGAAAGTCAAATGTTCCTATTTTGGGGGCTAAAATAGTAAATGACAAAAAGCAATTCTTCCTACACAAGAAACTCATGGTGCAGTTTTATAGTAGAATAAGAAATAGTTAATCATCCCTGGTCAATTAAATTTTTCCCAAGTTATGATCAACACTGATTCATTAGTGAAGTACAGTTATGTAATAATCATTTTACATAGTACCAGAGAGAGAGGTGTTGTACTTACCAGCTAACTTTCCAGTAATTAAAACAGTGTCTTCAAATAGCCATATATTTGCTTGGCTTTGCGGGAACAACGAAAGCGTAACCGATGAGTATACTGTGAAATGTAGCACAATTAGAATATTAAATGTGGGGGGAAAAACTAGGACAAATATAGTTTTGTTCCAACAGGTCCTGAAAAGTGGGGGGAAAAAATAAAACAACAACAAACTGTGTGGGAAACAGTAACTCAAAACAAAGGAAGAAATGGCTGCACAGCACAAAGAAGGTAATCAAAATCATTGCACTGCAAATGTAGAAAGTGCACTGGTGAATGTTTTGGTGTATATATTTTTGCCACAATTAAAAAAAATTTGTTTATTAAAAAAAAACAAGGAAAAAAGAAAGAATGTAAAATATGATGGCGGGGGAAAAATGAGTCACAATAAAGTGAGGAGAAATCTTGGGCATCTATCTCTATTTTGTTTTATTAATATTTCCTACTTTCCTCTTTTCCACCAGTCTGTTGTTACTGAACACCAGGAGCACTGCTACAGCTTCCTAGCCCGGGCTCCTGAATCCAATTTTAGCCGTCTCTGGCCTTTTCTTTATACACAGCTGAGTGAATCCCATTTCCAAACAGCTTACACTTAGTGTGCTCAAGGATCCACAATAACTGTATTATTTAGCACATAAATCTAAACTGTCTCATATTTTGATAACATCATCATCTAGCCTCACTAAATCGGACCCACTCTGCTTTTTACTAATCCTTTGAGCATGCCAATCCCCTCACCACCACCTGCAGGCAAGCTTCATGGCATAGCAAAGCTCTTGCTCAGGATTCCTTTAATCCTCTTTCCAATGAAAGGAAAGATACCTTCATATTTTCATCAAACTGGCACTCCTTTCAAGCCTCTTTATATTGACTTCACATAGGCATTTTCATTTTACCAGAATAACAGATTTCCAAAACAGATGAAAAAATCATTTACATTTAACACAAAACCAAACCCACTGCCGTCGAGTCGATTCCAACTCACAGTGACCTTATAGGACAGAGTAGAACTGCCCCATAGGGTTTCCAAGAATAGCTGGTGGATTTGAACTGCTGACCTTTTGGTTAGCAGCTGAATGCTTAAGCCATTGTGCCACCATTTACATTTAGGGAAGGCAAAACTGTTTCAGTGCTTACTTGGCATTCTTCTGGTCTTCCAAGGCAGTGGTGTCAACACATAGCCATCTTTGTATGCAATAATAGTTAAGCTGAGCCCTAGCTTATAGGGTACTTTTATCAGCACTGCTCCATTTTTTTTAGTTACTGTGGAATTTGTCTTCGTATAGTTTACAAAAACTTCTACAATTGCTTGACTCAGGTACTGACGACTGATGATGTCATTCACCTGGACCTTCAGCATAAATACAGATACTGGAAAGAAAAAAAATGCATACAAATTACAGCATATTAGATCCTAGAATGCACATGCCACTGTGTTTTAAAATATCATTCAAGACATCTGAATAACAAAAACATTGTTGATAAATTTAGACAATACATATTGTATGTATATATAGAGGTGTAAAAACATTCCAATAAATTCATTATTCTTTCTAAAACTGAATACATTTAAATGTTTATCATTAAGTATTATTTCTCCATTTTTTCTGCCAATTAAAAAAAGAAAAAAGGAAAGTAGTGAATAATAAAAAGACGTGCTTTAAAATGAGGCCTTTTACCATAAATTATTCAATCTGTATACTGAGCAAATAACCTGAGCAACTGGACTATATGAAGAAGAACCGGGCATCTGGCAGGAGGAAGATTCATTAACAACCTGCGATGTGCAGATGACCACAACCTTGCTTGCTGAAAGTGAAGAGGACTTGAAGCACTTACTTATGAAGATCAAAGACTACAGCCTTCAATACAGATTATACCTCAAGATAAAGAAAACAAAAATCCTCACAACTAGACCAATAAGCAACAGAGAAAATATTAAAGTTGTCCAGGATTGCATTTTATTTGGATCCACAATCAACACCCATGGAACCATCAGTCAGGAAAACAAACGACACGCTGCATTGGGCAAATCTGCTGCAAATGTGTTGAAAAGCAAAGATGTTACTTTAAGGACTGAGGTGCACCTGACCCAAGCCACAATATTTTCAATTGCCTCATATGCATGCGAAAGCTGGACAACAAATAAGGAAGACTGAAGAAGAACTGATGGCTCTGGATTACGGTGTAGGTGAAGAATACTGAATAAACCACGGACTATCAAAAGAATGAACAAATCTGTCTTGGAAGAAGTACAGCCAGTATGTTCCTTGTAAGCTAGGGTGCTGAGACTTCAACTCACATACTTTGGACATGTTATCAGGAGGTACCAGCCCCTGGAGAAGGATGTTGTGCTTGGTAAGGTAGAGGGTCAGCAAAAAAGAGGAAGATGCTTGACAAGATGGATTGACACGGTGGCTGCAACAATGGGCTCAAACATAGCAACGACTGCGAGGATGGCACAGGACCAGGCAGTGTTTCGTTCTATTGTACACAGGGTTGCTCTGAGTGGGAACAGACTCCATGGTACCTAACAACAATAGGCTGAAAGAGTAGTCAAAGTAATTAAAGCGTCATGACCACCTTTTTTTCCTACAAATAAGAAAATTTGTAAAGAATTACTCCTTCATGACTTAAAATACAATGCTTCTGACTTCTGTGGTATCAACAGTTTGATCAAGCAATCAGTGCTGGCAGCCAGAAGCAATAAATCCCTAATAATCCCACTTACTAGTCCTCTCCTCCAAAAAAATACTTTGGCATTTAGATTGGGCAGCTTTCATGATTAAATATATGATTTCCTCCATAATCTACCTTCTCCTCTCCATTGTACTTTTCAGCTTTCCATGCACATATTATTTTCTCTGTCACTTAATGATAATCATTATGTGTTACCCACATAATCTTCTTTTCAATATGTCACCACTGGTTTAAAAATGGTTCACTATCAAATGATTTCAACTGCACCCCTAGAAAACATATAATCTAAATGTTGAGAAAAACAAGTAAAAATATACATCAATTAAGCTAGGTTCTGAGTTGCTAGGAAGGAGCTAACTACTTATCACATGATTAGAAGCATTGTTAAGTAATGAGGAACGCTAAAATGTAAAAGAATAAATAGGTATAAAGAAATGTTCTTGAACAAGCATATTAAAACCAGCATTATATTATGTTTTGCTATAGGATACAAATACGTAACTCAAAGCCCAGGAAGGGTTAAAAAGTACTGCTAAATATTTATTTGGATGACATCTAGCACTTGAGGTGGGCTGGGCTGGTAGAATTACTATCCCACTCTTTTCAAAAGAACTTGACAGCATCCTATCGTTAAATTTACATAATGGAGAAGCCACCTCAGTTTCAGATGTCTTCAACAGAAGAACTAGCCCACTCTTTTACACTGTGTTTCAAGTATCTAGCAATAATTTCATTTAATAACTACAACTTTTTTCCTCTATAGGAAAATAATGTTAAAAAGGAAGTTTTTATGAACAGATCATGGGTAAAAAAAAAAAAAAATTAACAATAAAATGAATTTTAAAATTTGAGGTTTATGAATTCTGATAAGAAGTAAAAAACAAAAATGAAGAGCACAAAACATTGACTGGAATGAAACAGTTGGCTGGCAACCGTTAGAAATGTTCACCTATATTCATTCACTTAACAAATGTTTGTTGTAGGTTGCCGCCAAGTTGGGTCTGACTCATGACGACTTTACATATAACAGCATAAACATTGCCTGGTCCTGGACCATCCTCACAATCTTTGGTATGTTTGAGCCAGTTGTTGCAGGCAACATGTCAGTCTATCTTATGGAGGATTTCCTTTGTTCTTGCTGACCCTCTACTTCACCAAACATGATGTCCTTTTCTGACGATTGGTCTTTCCTGATGACGTGTGCAAAGTAAGCAAGACAAAGTCTTGCCATCCTCGCTTCTAAAGAGTATTCTGGCGGTAATTCCTCCAAGACAGATTTGTTCATCCTTCTGGCAGTCCATGGTATACTCAATACCTGTATACCCGCTGCCGTCGAGTTGATTCCGACTCACACTCTTTGCCAATACCACAATTCAAATGCATCAATCCTTCAATCTTCCTTTTTTGTTGTCCAGCTTTTGCGTGCACATGAGGTAACTGAAAAGACCATGGCTTTACTAAGGGCTTATTTTAAGTCAGACCTGCACTAAATATGTATTGGGGATACAAATATAAGACACAGTCTTAAGTAAGTTTATTCTGAAAAAAGAAAACAATGTAACAAAACAATTGCAGAATTATGTGATACCACCCAAGATTAGAACTTTCTACAGTATATAGCAATCTTCTAAAAGATTATGTAGAAATTATATATATCTATATAAAAACCAATCCAAACCCGTTGTCACTGAGTCAATTCCGACTTGTAGCAACTCCATAGGACAGAGTAGAACTGCCCCGTAGGGTTTCCAAGAAGCAGCTAGTGGATATGAACTGCTAATCTTTGGTTAGCAGCTGAGCTCTTAACCACACACACACGTATATATATGTATATAGAAGCCACCAGCCACACATTTATGTGTGTGTGTGTATATATGCATATATACACACACACACATATATATGCACATACATACACATCACAATTCCTATAATAAATATTCAAAAATAATGGCTCTAATATTGACTTTGGAATCAGTTTGCACTATCATCTTCTTGAACAGAAGAATGTCAACATTTTTAGGTCAGACCTCCAAATGGCATGGCCATTCATTCTCTCCCGTTCTCCACGATCTCAGCTTTTGGCCCATTTCAGTGGAGACTTTACAGTGAGAACCTGGAAGATGCCAAAGTTCAGGCTATGACCCAGATCAGGTTTTAACTAGGGCTATTCAGAGTCCTAGTTCACTTACCACCTACCATTTTCACACAAAATAATCAGTCATAGAAAAATCTTAGTTTAGTGCTAGGCATAACTATACAAATATGTTAATATGTAAACAAAAAAAATCTGTTTCCAAATTTAAATGACTATGTATTTAAAACCTTAAATAGAGATATAACAATCATTGTTTGACTAAAGAGGGTATTAACTGAATCCCACCAATTTACCTTGGCATTTGAAATCTGAGATTTGGCTACCACCTCCCTTACAACCTTATTTCCCATTATCCACACTCTTATATCACACACCAGCAAAGTAAAGCCTGCATGCCAACTCTGGCCCACCACCTATTTTTAAAATAAAGTTTTATTGTAACATAGCCGTGTTCATTCATTTGTGTATTGCCCATGGCTTCTGCAGCTACCAACTCGAGTTGAAAGATGCTTCAGAGGCCATGTGGCCCACAAAGACTGAAATATTTACTATCTGGCACTTTATAGAAAAAGTGTGTTGAAATTCTAACTCACAAAAAAAGATCAGAAACCCCAAAGAGTATGGCCCTTGGACTCCCTTTTAACTCACTACTGAAGTCACTCCCGAGGCTCACCCTTCAGTCACAGATTAGACAGGCCATAAAACAAAATGAGACTAAAGGGGCACACCAGCCGAGGGGCAAGGACGAGAAGGCAGGAAGGGACAGGAAAGCTGGTAACGGGGAACCCAAGGTCAAGAAGGGGAGAGTGTTGACATGTCGTGGGGGTGGCAACCAATGTCACAAAACAATATGTGTATTAATTGTTCAATGAGAAACTAATTTGCTCTATAAACCTTCATCTAAAATACAGTTTAAAAAAAGTTCATCAACTGCTTGCTACAACATCATTATCCATTTCTTCCTTCTATCTGAAATGCCCTCTTTTCATTTCCACCTGTTGGAATCCTAATCCATCCTTCAAAATTTAATTCAAATGCCCCTTCTGCGAATGTTTCCTTCTTCCAATCAGGTGAGATCTCCTTTTTTGTACAGATGAGTCTAATGGTAGATGATAGATTCTGGCACGTTTTACTTTTCTGTATATCTGTCTTCTGTCCATGAGAGTAGGCTTCTTGACAGTTTACACTGTTAGAAATTCAACCCTGTGTCTCACCAGAGCACAGAAAGGGGCTTAGCATGGATGGATAAACGCTCACTGAATAAAAGTGGGTAGGGGGAAAGGGGGAAAGAAGAGGAGAGTAGGGAAGAGAGAAGCAGAAGATAGTACCGTAAAGGAGGCCAGAGAGGATCAGAAGCAGCCAAGCACTCAGGAAAAGAGAGATAATTGTACATTTACACACAGAGGCCACCTAAGGTGACGGCTAGCTTTCTAACCCCAATATTCAGTATAAAATTTTGAACTTAATCCCACAGTTGCCAGTGAGAAATATTTTATATTAATTACTATAGTATTCATAACAATAAATAAATAGTAAAATTACTTTTCCTTATGGAAATTAATATAACTTTCTC